CTTCTCTGACAGCGAAATGGAAATTGCTTGTTCTTCTTTTGAAAAACCCAGAATTGATCAGCTTTTTCAACTTCAGTTCTGAAAAAGAATTGCTATGGCCTTCATTTTACATCTCTGTAGCTACACATTAATTCTTGGTGCCTATTCCTTGTTTCAATGAGGACAATGGCAAAAATTCCATTGATTTCAGTAGTAGCAGGATCACTGAAGTACAGAGAATTCCTTCTTTCCATTTATGGACATCCTGTACCAGAGATCACCACTAGTTTTCCATCTTGTCATTTCATATCAAGAATAAGACACTTCTGCAAGGTAAACAACAAAAGATGATCCTGGTCTTGTTTAAAAATGGGACAGATAGCAATTTTGTAGAAAGACTTTTTTTTGTAAGTCCAAACGTGGCAATTATTAACCAGACAAACCATCTTGGAACACTGAGATAAAATAAATATTTTAAATAATCTGCAAGGTTATTCAAAGTATAACCAATTCTCAAAATACATCTTCATAAAATGAATGATCTGAAATTAGAGCTGTGCAATGAGACTCTCCTCTTCCTCCCAAAATCTTTTGGCTGCTCCACAAAATGACTGCACCGCACCTTAAAGGAGGGTGGGGACATTGTCTGGTTTGCTGGGGAAAGGAGAATATTTCTTTAAGGGTGGGGGTGAGAGAGAGGCATAGATGCTGCTGCAAAAGCAGAGTGGGTCAGTGTGGTCACCAGGGACCAGAAGGGATGGGAAGTTGATAAAGGGCAAGCCTGGCGGGAGAAGCCCCTTTTTCCTGGACCAAGTGGAGCAGCACCCACCTTCCCACCCATGGCAAAATACCAAGTTTTGGTTGGGACCCTCTGTGGGTGTTGTGCTAGCCACTCCTTTCTTGGGGGACTGGGGGGGGGGAGAAGGAATTTTTCCCTTGCCACCAGATTGGCCAAGGTGGAGTGGAGTTTTCTTAGTCTTCACCACAACAGGTTTGAGGGGGAGACTTTGTTATGGTGACTAGGGAAGGGAGTTAGGCTAAGATGTCGCAACTCATTAGGCAAGTGTGGGGTGGATGTCTCGTACAGGTACTCTGTAGGGAAGGATGCAGTGTTCTGATAAATAGGTACGGGACTTAAAGGAGGTGTTTGTTAAAGGAGCAGAATGGGGGAGGGTGGTTTGGGGTGCCTATGACTGGCCTGGTAGGGAGCCAACTCCCCTCTTCCTTTATAGCCCACCTCAACCCTCACTTGGGCAGGGAGGAATGGTAAGGTCCCTGCAATAGGTTGACTGGGGACCAGAATGTAAAAAGTGGGGGCTGGTGGAAACTCTCAGGTAGATATTGAAATGATCATGGGGTTACCTGCACTGTACACTTTTATCTGCTGGGTAGTCCCAGACATCTAATAATAAAGTTGTAGCCTGATTAAACTATATCCAGTGTCTCCTGTCCTTCTTCCAGTATAGCTGGACAATAGTCTGTAGTATTTATTCAGAAGGGGCAGTACCAGTATGCAGAGATTAAATAGCAACAAAGTTTTATATTTATATTGAAAATTAAAGTAGCTCTAGAAGAGTGGTTCTACTTGCTGGGTAGAGATTCCTAAAGAGAGCGAAACTGGCCCTGTAGTTTGCTATGAGAGTCCAAACTATTTTTAACTTTGGGTGAGAAGATCTGTAGGATTGCTAAAAGATGTTCCCAGGTGTTTTTACTGTGATAAATTATGTAAATATTTTCAGCCTTAGGTTCAGTCCTTATATATTGAATCAAAGTAAATTCTACCAGTTGTGAAACTTTCCTTAGAATTAGAAAAAAAAATTGTTTTCCAGTTAAATGCATTTATAAAATTAACCCTTGAGGTTTAGTGGCATTGTTATTTACTGCTTGTTTAGAGAAGCCATACATTCTGAATTAAAGTAGCAAAATGGAAGTGATTCCTGCCAACTAAGAGAATGCAAAATGCATTCCTGCCAACTAAGAGAATTTGTACCTAGACTCCTTCCTTGTAGGACAGTGATGATGAATATATTACCAGGGGAGTGATATCTATATTTTTGAGGAACATGCCAGCAGTAACATGCTGTTGTTTCATGCTGTTAGAGCTAAAGGAAGTAGCCTCCCCCCATTCATAATTAAGGAGATCTTGTGATATCTGCATAGAAGAATGTTGGGTCAGAGGCACAAAGAAAGCAATTAGACATGTTTGGAGGGGGGGTACTCAAAAACTGGAAAGACAGCGCATTTTCTACAGTTTATAGTATGTCAGATAATGAATTTGTCAAAGAATGTGAAGAATGCCACCAATGAAAGACTGCTTAGTGTTTTGTTATAATAGGCATGATCAAAACTAATCTTTGTGAATTAACAATACTTATTCTTTATTACTGTATAGAGTCTTTTTTTAGTATGGCTACTTGTGAAATGTGCTGAGTAATTGGTTATGAGTTTATCTGAGTGATCTATTTCTTCACTAGAAATTCAGCATTCCATAGGTTAATAAGGCTTTTTTTGCAAATCCCAGCTGGTTTCCTTGTGAAGAAATTCCTGTAGTTCCTGGATTCTCTAGGGAAAGTGGTGAACAACCCTGTGGTTTTCAACTGCAAAATGGATTGAAACTTTGTCTGCGATTATATGATCATTTTTGTTTGAATATGAAAAAGACTGCTAAAATTGCTTTAGTTACAATACATAGTAGTATTGCTGTATATAGATGTGTAGTAGTAAATCCACGCAAAAAACCCAAACTATTTTAACTAATGAAGAATTTTATCAGATTGTAAAAGCTACATTTGGTATAGTCTGTCTTACTGTCTGTATCTACAGATATACACAGGGAACATTAATATGAAATACTGTCTTATTAAAATGTATGACAATGACCGCATGATTTGTTATAGCACAGTACATTCCAATGTTGTGCATATTTTTAATGATTTGTTTAAATACTTTGGCAAAGGGATGGCTTGGACTGCATACCTTTATATCACAGTCAAATGTACCTACAATAGTGGAAACTTATTTAAATAGAATTCCATATAAAATAAAAAAATGTTTTCTTTTATTTATTTTTCTGGTTTACAAAAATGTATCCACTTCTCATGTGTCTGGGTGCATGTACAGTTTAAAAACGCCACCAAATTAGTTAACCAGTGCTAATCGAACATGCATTATATTTCATCCCTCAACCCTAGAGTATATGTAATCCCAATTAAATTCCTGCTTTAACCTATTCAGGTAAAAATCTGAGAAAACAGATGGGACTTACATTGTGCTCTGAAGGTCAACGAACTTTAGTCATGTAGGGGATGTGACTTCCAGTGTCTCCAGATAATTAAATCTAGGGTCTGTTGAACAACAGCTGGCTCTGTTACATTGGAAAGTGAGGAAGATCTGGTCTCTCAAATAACTAAGGGTATATCTACACCCAGCCGCTAATTCGGCGGCTGGCAATCGAAGTTCTGGGTTTGACTTATCGCGTCTTGTCTGGACACGATAAGTTGAACCAGGAAGTGCTCGCCGTCGACTGCGGTACTCCAGCTAGATGAGAGGAGTACCGCGGAGTCGACGGGGGAGCCTGCCTGCCGCGTGTGGACCGAGGTAAGTTCGAACTAAGGTACTTCGAACTTCAGCTACGTTATTCACATAGCTGAAGTTGCGTACCTTAGTTGGATTTGGGGGTTTAGTGTAGACCAAGCCTAAGATCCAAATGACATGCTGCCAAACTTTCAGAATCAAAACCAGCACATTGAATTACACCTGAGGACATGTAGGGGGAGTCAGTGCAGTCTTTGGATACTGGTGTAATATGCTCCCTTTGGCTAGCCTCATTACGTGGGTGAGTTGCTATGCTCAGCAGCAGGTGTAGCCTCTACGTGGGCATCAGGTGTAATGCCATGTAGAATGTATTACAGGACTCTCATCTAGACATAACAAAACCAAGGGTGACAATAGCAAGATACACATTCAAGAGAACAATTGAGCTAAATAAGGATGAAAAAGATACATCTATGAGTGGCTAGATAGTAAGTGAGACCCTCAGAGCAGATACAGTCACCCATCACCAGTTACTGGGATCTCACTGAAAAGTATTAATTGAACCACATATGATCCTATCCATTTCTGCCAGGTCCACAGTTAGTTCAAGAAAACTTTGTGATCAGTGACATCAGACTTCTGATAGACTAGGAGTCATCAAACATACCTATAATATGTGCATAATAGTACAGTAATGAAGTATTTACCAGTTTTCAGTCTCTTTAAAGTGCTGTAGCATAATTTTTGTGAAAGACTAAAGCAGAGGATAAATGGCTAATTTGGCATCCTATTTATGCATATTGAATAGACTTAGGCCCTGCTCATGCAGTTGACTTCAGAGGATCTCTATGTGTTCAGGGGGTGTACCCATTTACAGTTTTAGGTTCAGGTCCTTACTTTTTTCTTTTAAACAGAAACCAGTTATTTATTAATTTTCATACAGTTTGACAGAACTACATTTTTGATATGAAAATGAGGAAACAGTTATTCTCCTTCATGGCAATGTGAGGGGATTTAAGTCAGTATTTTGGTTCTTATGGGGAGGGATAGCTCAGTGGTTTGAGCATTGGCCTGCTAAACCCAGGGTTGCAAGTTCAATCCTTGAGGGGGCCATTTAGGGAACTGGGGCAAAATCTGTACTTGGTCCTGCTAGTGAAAGCAGGGGATTGGATTCAATGATCTTTCAAGGTCCCTGCCAGTTCTATGAGATAGGTATATCTCCATATATATTTATTTACTTTTTAATAATTACATCAGCAGAGTGTCTGTGCATATAGTGTTTTCTATAAAGCTGTTGGGATTTTCCTATAGGTAACTAAAAATAATGTGTTCGATTCTTTCAAAGATTCCGTGCAATATATAATTTTTTTCTTTCTAAGCAATCTTGGTCCTTTAACATTCTAAAAATATTTCTTTGTAGGAATACTAGCCTTATTTATAAGAGATGCTTCTTTCTATTAATTAACTGAAGTGTATCTGTTTTCAAGGGAACAAAAGAGACTGAAGGTGAAGAAGAGGAGTCTGGTTTAATTCAACCTGCTGAAGTATTTGCTCCCAAAAGCCTGGTGTTGGTGTCCAGACTAGATTATCCAGAAATTTTCAGGGTAAAGAACTCCCAGATGCCATTTGTAATATGTGTCAGTGTACAAATCTGTTTTTAATGAGCAGCAGTGACAAGTAGTTTTGATTTAAAACATCTCCGCATTGGTTTGGGAATTTACCAGCACAAGTAGAATTAGACTGTACTAAATAAAAATCAATGTCTAGGAGACTGAATGCCCCTCTGGGTTAATGCAGTGCCCTTTTACTCAGAGGGCCTAGTTTTAAATCTACATAGACCACAAAATAAAGTCTTACTGATCTCAGCTAAAAGCCTAATGAAAAAAATCTTCATGACAAAACCCTCCTTATAGGTAAAATTAATCTCAACTGATACAATTTGTTTAAGAATATTAAGAATTAAATTTTAAGTATCAAGGATTATAGTATATGAATTATCTTCCTACCTATAATGTGAGTGAATTAGTGACGCTTCCAGATCAATTTAAGATATATAAAGATTCTAAGGAATCTAAGATTTTTTTCAGTTGGTATTGTGACTGACCTGAAGTAAACAGAAAACTTAAATTTTTATCAGGCCTCTAGCACTTTCAGGTGTTTAAAAAAATTATTATATTAACTGAAGCAAAAATAGTTCAGCCTAGTAATGCAGGAATAATTCATTTAATAGTAAGTTGCTGCCATAGTGTTGAAACTATTTGTAATTGGATAACTCCTATCAAATTGATCCATTTTTCAGAATTTTCAATATTTTCGCCAGCTAAAAATAGAAGGCAGCCAAAGTGCTATTACCGAGCAGTGTAATTTACTCTCTCCCTTCCTTCTCTAAGACTTACTGGGAACCAATATTGTATCATCTATTGCTAAACAAATAGCTTTATCAGTTTTGTCAAACTTAATCAAAATTGAAGAGATGCAAAATAAAGATACTAATGCTAAAATGTCAATGCCGTTTATTTTAAAATATTCTGTTTACTGAAATAACAAAAGCACAAACTGTAAATAGAGAAGACATACAAATGTGGATCACTGATCCTCAGAATAATATTGGGATTATAGAGGTAAAATTGTAGGCATCAATCCGGAATCAGATTCTATGAGCATGGATTCCTGCACTGACATGAATTCCCAATGATTTAGTGGTACTTTACATAAACATGGAGATTTATGGAAGGAGATCTCAGTGCCTGAGCAAGGGAACTCAGATTAAGCATTATATTTCTTTTTAAAATGTGGATACACACACTCTGTAGAGTTTGTGAAATCCAACAAGAATTCAGGGGGGTTGGTGTGACATTTCTTCAAGTGAATGAATTCTTTTGCAGAAAATTACTTTTTCTCCTTTTGGAATGTACTTTACCATATTAAGATTGTCCTAGGACATGTTTATTTTAAAGTTACTGTATATTTGTCAGCAATTATCACCACATAACAATTTTATATATTTATTATTCAACTTTTTAGGCTTGCCTTGGCTTGATCTACACTGTGCATGTGGACAGCCTGAATGTGTCCTTGGAGAGTCTCATTGCAAATCTCTGTTCATGCCTGGTCCCTGCAGCCGGAGGCTCTCAGGTAAGTGGAAAAAAGTATTTTTCCAGTTAATTTAATTTATGAAGAAAACAAAAAATAAATTCTTTAAATATTTTCATTGAAAAAAAGGATCATAGTTCAGCTGAGTGTTGTCCCTGTAGCCTGCCTTCTAAAGACAGCAAAAATTCCATTCCAGGTTAAGGTCAAAGGGTTAATTTTGTTACTGGATTTGCCTTTTACAAGGCAGAGTAACAAATCAAGCAGTTTGTTATGAGTTCAACTTTTTTTTAATACTATGTGTTCAGAAATAATTTTGTTTTATGCATTTTTTCTTGGGGGCTCTGTTATGTGCCCTCCTTTTTCATTCACTTTGTGTATGTGTGATGGTATAGTTCAAGATTCCATTGCCCCTTTAAGACAATTGCTACTTCAGTGCTAATTGTTTCTGACTCTCATTTTTATGACGCACAAACATGAATATGAAGTAACAATATATTTATTCAGATTTCTGAAATGCAACTGAAGGTGTCCAAAATATTCCAAAAACTAAAAATTACAGAATAAGCAAAGGGGTGTCCATAAGTATATATATCTCATCCTCAGCAGTCTTAACGAAGAGAGAAAAAAGTTGTTTTCAATACAGATGTTGTCCAAACTGCAGGAATGTAATATGTGGTGATGCTCTAAGACAAAAGTATAAAATAACAGTTATTTAATGAAAAAATAAATTATTTATTCTTACATGTAGTTAAAATAGGAATAGCATATTATGCCAAGATAATGAGTGCCACCAATCTCTCTCTGTGAATGCACAATGCTACAGAATTATCAAAGTTAACTGGAAGAATAAATAAATCTTCTTGTGAATTGAACTACAAGTAACTCCTATGCTGATTAATGTAATTGGTGAGTAATATATTAGAGCTGGAAGTCAGGTTGCCATGAAGATTATAGATTCTTTATAACTGAAATTCTCAGGCCTGGTTATCTACAGTATCTACTAACTGAAAAATCTCTCATCATTTTTATAGAAATGTGATCTGTACACTATAAGCTAAACAGAGTAGTGGATAGTCCATTTTTCTAGTTCTAGTTTCATCAAGGATAATTGGGAAGATTTCTTTCAGGGTTTTTGGACTTTTCTAAATGAGGAAAAATTGCACTCTAAAATTTTAACTATTTTAGAGCTTCTTCAGGACCTAAAATTCTCTTGATGTTATACTAATTTCCTATAGATCTAACATAACCTCATTCAGTAATATTTATTATATTCACTATAGTATCTGAAACTATTGACAAAATTACAAAAAGCTAACAAGCACTGAAAGGTCTGATTCAAATAAAGTAACTCTTTGATCTATTTTTGGTTTTTTTTAGCAACACATCTTTAAGATTTTTTTCTTCCCTTCTTTCATATTTCTTCATTGTCACCGGGTCTCCCTATTCTTTACCTTCAACATCATTGGCTAGTTTAGTAGGTATTTCTAGGGAGATAGTCTTGTTGGAAAGCTGAAATGGTTCTTAAATTTTGTCCTGAAAATGGTGAGACTTATGGTCATTCTAATTATCTCTAATCTTCAGCATATGCTACTTATCAAGAGTGGAAACAGAGACCTTGGGGATGGGAACTAGATGGCATAAACCATAAACTTTTCATCTCTGCAGATGGACACTTTCCACCACACAACTTGGATTGATGGGCAGTCTGCTAAAGAGTCACAGGTTTGCAGTAGGAAGTCAAAATTCATATGCATCACCAGTACAGTGTGGAGGAGTTTACAGCTGATCCTGGCTGTACTGTTCCTGTTTCAGCTAGTGCTTTTAGTCCTTAACCTTTCATCAGCACCAAAATCACTCTCTCAAAATAAAATCTAGAAAGAAAAAAAAATCTTCAAATATTGATGTTACATTTCTCTAATATGCAGAAATAGGGAGCATTTTTGAATATTGGAGAAGCTATAATCTACATATGTGTTCCTTGGGTGAGAATCCAGGTCTTTGTTCAGTAGATTAAATAGTGAGACATCCCTGAAAATTAGATTATAAAACTAAAACTGTAATATCAAATTGCTAAATTGAATTTAGAATGCACGATCTGTACACTTTGTCTCTCTGCTCTCCTATGGGCCCTCAGTTTCCTTGAAGAAACCCTGCAGACTCCCAGCTCTTTCCCGTTTTGATTCCATGCTCCACTTTGTAGGCATCATCTATTAAATAGGAATTTCATCAGTCTGCCAGTGCCACTTCTTAATCAGATGAAAGGGTCACTGTTGATGTAAGATCCTCCCTTCTCCTTTAATTCAAAACAGTAGAGATCTGTGCTTGCACAGCATTCTGCCCTTTCTTGGTAGGGACAAGTGACTACGCTAAGGAATTCTCATGGAGCCTAAGTTCTAACATGACAGTGCAGACAACTACCGCTTCCTAGGTTGCTGGGGCTAACCCATAAGTTGCCTATTTATTTTATTTTACTGTGGGGTTTTTTATTATTGCAGTGGGAGAAAAAGGTTTGGGAGACTATTAGATACTTGCCTTAGTTTAAAGGGGAAAGGACATAAATTCAGTTTCTTTTCCTCATACCTGTTCATAGCCCTTTTAACATTGGCTCAAACAGAAAACTACAAACAATATCTGTGAGGATTTCCCCACCACCAGCAATGCCATACAGATTAATTTCGCTTAGTTTTCTTTCCTCATGCCTAGAAACCCTTGTGCCTTCCTTTCAGATATACTAATCTAACGTGTTCTTTGACTGATTCACACCTGTATTCTACTTAGGTGTGTTCATGTCCAGCACAAGCAGAGCTGGAAAGTTTTCCATGTACACAGTGGGGTAGTACACATGCTGCATGCCTCCTTATGGCCCGTGCTGAGGCTATTTAAGGGTGGCAGCGCCCCAACTCTCCTCACTTTATTCTCACCACCTGGGCCTGAGTCAGAGGTCTCTGTGTGGTGTACCTCATGGTTACTATGCAGTTAGCAATTTTTCCCATATGTGCTTTTGTTTTTAGTTTTCTGAAGTTAGTTGTAGTTTAACAGTAGTAGCTAGCAGTTAGCAATAGTTTAGATAGTTTTGGTAGATTAGGATAGAGTCTGGAGACATGCCACCACCAGGCTTCAAACATTGTTCCTAGTGTGGGTTAGATTTCCCAAATAGTTATCCCCACACATGCTCCCTCTTATGCCTCCGTGAGGGGCACATCAAAGAGAAATGTGGTATTTGTCATTTGTCATTCTTTTAAAAAGAGAATACAAATATCTAGAGACTTATGCCTCAAACAGCACCTTATGGAACAGATGTTTTTCCCAATCCTCCAGCCCCAGAACTGGGCTCTGAGGTAACCACAGTCTCAGACAGGTTTCTGAACTCACTGTTCTCAACAGATGAGAAGAGGTCGATCCTCCTCTAGAGAGCCACTATGAATAAGAACCCATAAAACAAACAGGAGACATTCCAAGTCCAAAAAGGACTCCAGACTTCTCTGGGACTTGTCTGGAGCACAGTGTAAAGTCAGGCCTTCATCCTATCTCTCCCTGGTACGAAGATGAGATTGTATTGCTATTGTGCTATCGACTTCAGCACCACGGCAGGGTGTACATTGAGTCCAGTGCCAACAGCACGGGTCCTTTCGGACCCATCAATGCTGCAGGCTTTTAAAGCAGTGTCTGACCTCCTTAGCATTTCTGTCCCAATGGCACAAGACACTCTAACTGAAGATATACCCTCAGCCATTCTGGATGGAATGGAATACAATGACTGTACCAGTACTGGTTTTGATTCAGAGAGGCAGTAAAGATGCTCCCCTGACACTGACTTCAGTATTGCTCTCTACGAGATTGGTATAATCTTTGACTTTGAAATCTGTGTCAATGGTTTATCATGCACCTCAAGTTTTGGCACCAAATTATTCATTTGTTATGACACTGGCACCACCTGAAAGGCCCCTTCCTGGCACCAAAATTTGAGAGGGGCCCTTTAACATATCTTGGATTCTGACCACTGTACCAACCTTGGTACCGAAGTTGCTGACTTCCCTCTGGGCTGTTGACTCATTAGGATACCTGATAGCCTCTCCAGGCATGGCTTCTCCACTACCTCCTTTTTTTCCCTCCAATTCTGACTCAGAATCATGCTCCTCTTCGCCTTCCTCTCCTAGGTGAAAATTGAAAAGAGCCTCTGACATGTTTGTGGAAGGGGAGCATCAGTACTGAGAGCAGAACCACTTTAGTACTGGGAACAGGCTGCTTTGGCTGAGTCCATAGTGGCCTCCAGTTCCATACCCACTGCATCTGTGGACCTATTGGCACTCCTGGGGAGTTCCTTGATTGTAGACCTGTTCCAGAGGAAAGTCCCCACCACTAAGTCACCCTGAAGCGCTGCTGGTTTCACAGAAGAACTCATAGGCATCTTCTACTGAGCCACCACAACATCACCCTGAACCTGTGGACCAGGTTTCAGTTGTGTCGCAGAAAGAGCCCATTCCTCCTGTACCATTGTTGTCGTCTTTGTCTGAGGACTCTTTGGAACCGGATGATTTTAAGTTGTACCAGGATCTTTTAAGGAAGATGGCAGCAGCATTTGGCATTCAGGCTGAATGTGTCCAGGAGAGCATGCATAACCTTCTGGACATCTTGCAATCATTAGCCCCTGGGAGGGTTGCTCTTCCAGTGAACAAAGCACTTTTGGCACCCACTAAAACTCTGTGGAATACGCTGGCTTCCACAACTCCCACTGCTAAGCATACAGAAAAACACTATCATGTTTCCATGCATAGCTGTGAGTGTTTCTATTCCCACCCAGCTCCCAACTCCCTTGTGGTCACTGCTGCCAATGCAAGATCTCATTAGGGTACGTACAGATCTACACCCAAGAGAAAAGAGTTTAAAAAACTTGATGTGTTTGGGAGAAAGATTTATTTGATTTTTGTCATTACAGATGTACATAGCTATTCAGCAAGTGCTCCTGTTGAAATATGACTTTCTTAATTGGGATTTGTCAAAATTAATTGATGAGCTCCTTGAGGACACATGAGCTGAGTTGA